AAATGTGCATCACGATTGCTAGACTTGTACGTAGGGAACTTTCATCTGGAAAGCTTCTATTCCTAATTAACACCTTCACTTCATGATGCAACACTTGTCCCATTACTGATCCGTGCTAGAGAAAAAGTGACATTCTCAAAGACTTCAGTCTTTCCATAAGACAGAAACACATTTTGCTTTAAAATGTTCATTCACGTTATTGAGAGGAATTGACAAATAGCAGAAAGAATTAATTTTTTTCACATAATAACCTCTATCAAGAGCAGCCTTTTGTAAAGCATGGCCACAAGTTATCTCGGGGCTATTGCTGGATATACCACACAGGTAGATACTTTTATTAACTGTTGTCACAGACAAACATTCAAATTGTTGTTGGCTATGTTTTTAATTTCTAACAGTGAACAGAAAAAAATGAGTCAAAAATAATTTATAAATAGATTCTGAAATTCTACAGGTCATAAAGGCCGGACCTTCAGTTTCAGAATGTTCTTTCTTTAAAGGTACAATCCTTATGGAAAGGTAAATTATTTAGCCTATGTTCTAATAAAGGAGAGCAGAGACCCTGTAAGACGAGGTCCCAGTCAGCCTTGAAATTCTATGATGTCTGAGCATATTCCATATGGGTTTAGCTATGAGTGCTAAACCCATATGGAGGGGGAAAAATCACTGTGTTTTTAAGGCAATATTGTAATGGTTAATGCAATGAGGTCCAAACACTTTAGGGAAAAGAATTATCAACACCATATAAAAATAATAGCTAAAAAAAGTAAACAGAAGTAATGAGAGGCAGGTTCCTGTGACATTCATTAGAACAGTAATCTACTTTTACATTAACAAACTGTCAACTAGGGGAAATGCAAGAAAGCCAACTAGCAATTTTTTCTCTGCAAGATTTGTATGAACAGAAATTCTAAACACATGCCTCAAACCAGCAAAAAAGTAGATATTAAACAGAACATGAAGAGGATTGCTTTTCATATGTTTTGCTTAAGCTAAATTAAAATACAAAAGAAGACTGACAGAGAAAAGGGAAAGAATAAAAATACTTGAGAGCCATTAATTAAATATGCAGATTCCTTCTGACTAATCTCCCAATTATTCATGATGTATGTATGTATGTATGTGTAAGGAAAGAGACTATCAGACTGAATATTTTTTCGAACTTTTTAGGTTTCCTGAGTTTTTCCATAGCTTTCAGAAACATAAATTTCCATACTTGAGTCAGGGATGGCACTCTCAGTCACATTTACCCTGCTCAGCTGTTGCTGTTCCTATCCACCTATGCACACCTCTTCCTATCCATGGAATGCCATGAAAGAAGCTTCACAAAGCACCAGTAATAACGTTACAAAATCATCCCTTGCTGCACGCAAGGATTGTGCTGACTGACAGGGTTAATGCCTTGGCACTTTGGTTCTTACTGTGCACATGGTAAGAAAGAGGAAGATAAGGGAATGTGCTGACAACCATTTCATCATTTGCTCAGTGATAGGATCTTTGGCCCCTGTCTGGGGTACACAGCTTGAGATCTGTGCTGAAAAAAACACACTTCCTGACTTGGCTGTTCCAGATAAAACCCAATCCATTTTCACAGATGGCAATGTCACTAACTCTTGCTGCTAGGGCTGGTGGCATGAGCAATACTTGCCACCAGACTGATTTCCCATGTCTTATTAGGCTGTTGAACTCACAGTTTCAATCTGAAATACCCCCATAAACAAGGGAGGGCTTTAATCCCTCCTTTATCTACATAGGCCTAATTAAGAAGCATGATAGACAGAGATGATCTGATATTGGGGATCATCATCAGCCACGTGGGTGAAGGACCTGCTTTCAGATATACCCTTTTTTCTAGCCTCTCCTTCATGATGAATTAAACATAGCACAAAATTTTATCCCTTCCCACTGCAGTTATCTCTTTAAATATTCTCAATTTTTATACATTCCCCCTCTGACTACTCTAGACCAACAAATCTTAGTTCTTTCAGTCTGCCTTCATTAGTTATGTTTTCCAGAACTCTGTTCACTTTTTTTGTTCTCTTTTGGGCTCTCTGAAACCAGTGAAATGTACATAGAAACAAAAAGTTAGGAATGTCTGAATGTGATATAAAAGCAGATATAACTAATTCTGCTTAAAACACCCTCATTCTAACATCTCAGCTTCTGTACAGTTCTTTCACTGGAAGATAGGCAAGCTGTTTACAAGGGAGGAGAGACATTCATCATGGGGCAACTGAGGCACAGCTAAATGACTCACATAAGGCCATCAGAGACATTTATCCCAGAGAGGAATGGAAACTTGTCAACTGAGCTGTGCTGGTAACTTCACCCCATGTCACAACACATGACCTTAAGCCAGTCTACCAAAACAGTTATGGCTACTGAGATTTTAGCTGAAGTACATGTTATATTTTTACAAATTCTTTTCATTTTAATAATTTCTTTGTGTTTTTCTATTTCAAGTGTTACAATCCATCGATTCCTTTGAGGTATCAGAACTACATTTTGGGATTGTACCTGCTTGTCAATACCTTACTTATCAATTTGTGGCTAAACATTTTTTCAACAGACCATCCTGCTCCCGTTCTAAGTTTTCTGCTGTGTAATCCTTCTCCTAAGCTTTGTTTCTGAAAGTAGGCCAATTACTGTAGTTTTTCTCAAGGTAAACTATAAAATTATTACTTTTGCATTTTTCCATGTCACAGTGTGACTGATACCTTTATCTTAACGAATAGCTCCATTATTTAATATGGATTAAATAATCCATAAAACCTAGACCTGATGATCTTAATCCCTTGCTTGTATGTAACCTCCTCTAGGCAAAGCTTAATAAGCCCCAAAAGCTTTCTAAGCTTACAGCTCACTAGAGAGGCTGGATGAATGTCAGGCTTCATGATATTTCTACTGTAACTTCAGTAAAGCTTAAGCTGCTAGGGAGATTATGAATACCATGTAAATCCACAACCAAAGTGACCAATACTTTTTAAGAACACGAAATAAAAAATGCAGGAGTAGCAGTGTTTCCCACCTTGTGTGTCTTGCTCTATTAAAAAAAATCAGATGAAAATACTCCATTTTCCAACATAACCTATGCTTTTACATCAACATTAAAAGAAATATGAATCCTGCATCGTCTACAGGCAAACACTGCCAAATGACAGGTTCCTGTTATGGTAAACGTCTCATTTCATTTCAGTCGAGTATTAACAGCAGACTACCTATCATCTATTTCACTGCTGAAAAGCAAACATTTGTCTATTGAACGTGGGCGTTTCCAGGGTACCTTATTTATCTACTTATCATTCAGGCAGGTAGGGAAATATCTCTTCCGTTTATTGAAAGGCTTGAAGATTTCAAATTTGTTCCCGTGGAGTCAAGAAAGGAAAGGCCCCCACAAGGATGCACTTGAGATGTAAAAGACTCAGGTTCAGGTCTTTGCTCTGATTTCCATCAGAGACCTGGTTCTCAGTTTCCTACGTGCCAAACCAGTGCCTGAGGAAAGAGCTTGAACAGTTAGAGGCTGGAACACTTTAACTGCTTTTACCAATCCAATGGCACCAACCATTTTGTTGCTGAAGCGGTTAGCCAGGGGCATATATGGTTTCATAAAAACACATCTTGGAGTTTGATACAGGGCTTTTGACCCAGCTACTTGTTCGGTACCAGCACAGCTAGCAATGGCATGCTGCGATTAGCTGATTGCACAGGTGAGCTTGTGATTGGCCTTCCTCTGTCCTCACAGCATACTGACTTGGACCTTCTGCCTCATGGGACTTGGGCTTGCTGTGTCACCTGCACTTTCAATATCTGAACTGTTATCAAGAGGAATTAGCAAAGGCTAATAACCTTTGGGTGTTAATGGTCTAGTCACCAAATAACAGCCCACAGCACATGTAAATTAGATCAGATTTTGCTGATTTACTTTATGGTAAGGATGGCAGCTCCATGGCCCAGGATCACAGGGACACAAAATCTGCCAGTCAATGGAGCCATAGGTGAGAGCAGATCCCAGGTATATTTCTGGCTATACAATTTAATGAAAATGAAAAACACCTAAAAAAGTGACATGAATCTGGAAACTGTTATTGCATAGCAACTGCATTGTTTTATCTCTATTAAAAAAAAAAAAAGTGTGGGTATTAAAAATGTAAAAAATTGCATCTTTTACCTAAAGAAAAAAACATTATCAAAGAAGCTAAAGATTTTTCCAATGACAAGTCTGTAAAAGCAAAACTACCCATCCAGAAAGGAATTAGCTGAGCACAAACTCCTCAGAAATTTTCATATGGTCCAGAATAAACTCCAGAGATTTTTTTCCAGTAAAGCAGCTGGAGCTCCTAAAATACTTAGTAAATGAAATCTCTCATTCACATATTTAAAGAAAACAGTCAGAATGTAATACATTATGCTGCCCTGAAGTGTCACAACAGATCAAGATGATGTCAAGTTTAAACTGATCCTTCTTTACAGTGTATTATTATCTTTGATACATATAAATTGCTGAGGAATGTTTCTATTATATGAATCATAAGAGTGTTTAAAAATAATAAGCACACTACAGTTATTTTACAACTTTGAACTAGAGTGAAGTTACTGAATACATAATTTACAAGCACAAATAGTACTGTGGAAAATAGAAGAGCTACATGATTACTCACAGTATTCCAACAACTAGAAGAAATTCAAAAGAGATAGGCAAGGTAAAAACAAAGAAAGGACAAAATGAAAGACTTAGAAAGAAAAAAGTCAAAGGAAAAAATATTAACCATTAATAACAAAGATAAATTAAAAAACAAAAGCAAAATGATAAAAAAACAACAAAAATAAAATTCAGTGGTAGCAGAACAAGTTACCAAATCACAACTAATTACTGTAATGCGTAACTTTCATCAAAATGTTATATTGTACATAATTCAGTCATACATAAGCATAATCCTTAGTCATCAAAACTTTGGCTCCTAGATCACTTATTTATGCAAGAAGATAAATTGCTGGCTTACCTGCTTGCTGTATACATATAATATATGTGATAAACAAGCAGAGACAGTACTGCAGCTTCCATTTCCAGTGATAGCACCACATTTCACTTAGATGAGACATCCTGTGGGGGGAAAAAAAAGCAAGAAAGAATTCAGGGAGTTTTCCAAGAAGACAAGAAAATGAGGAAAACACTGTTATTAGTCAAACTAGTAACTAGGAGTAAATAAAGTAGCACTTGAAAATTATGGATGGCCCTAGTATTGCTTAAATGGGGACAGAAGTCTGCCAAAAAGAACCAGAAATTACATTGTCTGGTTCTTAGCAGACAACAAAGTGGAAGAGCAGTCAGCACTGTGCTTCTAAGCAGATAGATGTGGGTGGTATTTCAGTAAAAGAAACAAGTAGCACAGTCTGAACAAGTTAAGGTGTAGGGGTTTTTTTAAATACTTCTGCTTTATTTACCTAATTTACACATATAAACACATTTATGCTATTTAAACATATATATTACATACATATATAAAGATGGTAGGTGATAATTTGCCTCCGCCCTTAACAAGGCTTTCCATCTTTCAGTGCTAATATTTTGACAGTTACAATATTTTCTGCTGAGAACTTTTATGAAAATCCTGAAACTTTCCTTGCCAAAATCTAAGAGCTCATCTGTGCTGCCAATGAAGTCAGGGACAGCTTTATTTTTTAATAAAACAAATGCAATTATATAAAAGTCTCTATCAGTTACAGCTTGAAATTAAAGCTTCCTTTCCCTTGAAGCATACAGGATATTTAATGGCTAAACCAAAATGTTTCCTCCATAGTGGGCAGAAAAGGAAGCAAGAAAGACTTAAATTTGGACAGGCCTTTAACCAGGTATCCAAAATGAATGGTGTTCCACTACACTACCATCTCATTTAATCAACAAGTTAGAGGCAAGCCAAAGGAAGCAACAAGTAATGAAACACAACACACATTATTTTGACCAACTCCTTCCCCTCTATTTGGTGATAACTGACTTTTGTTCAGTAAGATATTATCTACCTATACTGGGAGAAAACTCTTTTGCTCCACAGACACTGCTGTGAACCTGCCAGTGAAAGCTGGGGGCAAATATAAAACCTTTCCCAGTATTAGCTTCTGTTTCTCCCCAAAGCAGAAGCCAGACTTAATGCAGCAAGATAAACCACTATAAAGGAACAATTAATGTTTCAGTTTAAAAAGTGGTGGTTCATCAAAGCACCCCCATGGGCCTGACGCCAGCGGGTCCAAGTAAATGGCACTTCAGCAGACTGCTGAAGACTGCAATCAGTTAGGCTTTCATTTAGTGCACTGTTACACACCACAGGTATCTGATTACAAAAGAATTTCAGTTCTTTATGGGTAGTTGTATCAAATTAGGAATCTGAAGCAGATTTATTTTTTCTGAAACACTGTAAAGTCAAACTTAACAAGTGTTGAAGACAAGCACAGAAAACACTGGGCTCTGAAATACAAGAATCTCTTTGATGAAGCCAGACACACAAAGTAACCGGATTATCAAACAATAGAATTATTGTCCTTCAACTTAATATCCAAAAATCCCTATTAAAATCTCAGACAAGAGAATGCTGAGGTTTTGAAACCATTACTGTTCAATGTATACAATTCCTAAATCCACAGTACTTTTAATATTAATTTAGAAAACTGAATTTGAACAGAAGTCCTTCTAAAATACAAAACCAGTTGCACACTCATGCAAGCAAGGACAACACACATATATACTCACAGAGTGGGGAAATGGAAATGCTGAGGCTAGCAACATGACATACCAGACATACAAGAGAACATTGTTCTTCCTACAGAAGAAAGAGTTTGCAGGTACTGATGAGCTACATGCCATCCTGCTGCATAATCTCCAAATGCAAACCTGTAGAAGTGGTTGCATTACTAGTTTTTGATCGTTGCTTTGTTTTGAGCAAGCACAGATACAGCTATCAAACTGGGAAATAGTTGCAAACATTTATTAACTCAGAATAAATCTGTGTTGGTTTTTATCAAACAGAAACATTGTCTGTATCATCACTTCTGATGTCTCTGTGAACTCAGCCAAAGTTTTCACTCATTTAATAGCTGGCAAATCCAAGACATCAAGTTTGAAATACTCTAGGAAAAATAACATGTCAAGCTTCTGCTGCCTAGGTCTGGTGTGAATCTACCCAGTCACATTGCCTTTAGAGCCTTTCTTAAAGAACATGAAATTCTGCAGTAGTCTGAAAGAGGTATTTAATCTGGCCAATTTGCTATTGTTAATGTTCACTTGTATTGCAGTAGTAGTGCTTATGAGCCAGTACTTCATGGTACTCCCTGATGGCAGTTTACAGTCTGTTTCCTCATCCTTACTTATGAAAGAAGTACAAGTTAAGAAAGATTTCAAGAACATGGATAATCAACAACAGAGCATAGTATAAATAAGTACAAACAACAAAGCAGAAAGTAGCTATACAGATTTTTCCCCAGAGAAAAAAAGCTAGATAATTATACAATTGCTAAATTGTATATTTATTTTGTATTGTATATTTATATTGTATACTTTAAAAATATACAATTCTCCACCAAAATAAATAAACAAATACATAAACAATAGCAAAACTGTCTTCTCCACTTACATTTTTTACTGTTGAAGGACAAAACAATTCTCTTTACACTACATCATCTCAGTTGACAAGAAAGGTTTATCAAACTCAGACAAGAATGACCGCAGGAGAAGCATGCTACCAAAACACTCCACTAATGTGGGCACCATGAGTCAGAACTGTTTCTTTTGGAAAAGATTTTTGAAGAACTACTTTACAAAGCATAACCTCCAGCTGAGTGCTACAAATAAGTGAGGAAATCAATTTATATATATATATATATATACATATCATATATATATATAATCTTGTGGAGACAAAAAGTCAAAATTCAGAAAACTGACTGCTCACAGCCTTCCACTGTGATGTGTAACATCCCTGACCACACAAGAAGTTGTCAGGGATGGAAGTCAGCTTACACATTGCCAACAAAAAGGCTTCTTGCACAACAAAATCCATCCCTGATATTTTTATAGTGTGACACCCCAGACAATTATGATAAGGTGTCGTAGTAACTGACAAATAAATACTTTCAAGACATTAAAGAGACATAGCCTAGTTGCAGATAATATTCACCTGTTAATACCCACTATGTTTATATTTATTTTAAAGTTCTTTTTCTTGATTATCCATGTTAATTAACATCTAGAAGGGGATCCAAACAGCATATGAATAATTCAGTACAAAACCTAGCAAACAGTTCTGGCCTAGTTTATAGTTTATCAAGGGGTGATATGGTCCCCTGACAGCACTGACTTGATGGTCCAAGGTACCCCTATGGTCTTGTGTTATTATTTTTAATAGTATTAAAAAGATGTGTTCTGTCATTTAATATTCATTAGCAGCACAGAGAAAAGCCATCTGCACAGCAGTGTACTAAAACACACCAAGAGTAAGTAAAGGGATGGATCTTTGTCCACAGCAACATATATGGATTATTTCGCTCTTTAGCTTTGGTTACATTAAAATTGCTGAAAGCATACTAAGTGTTCTTTTCTATTATTTTCTTCTCTATTTTGTATCAATTTAAATTAAAAAGTCCTGTTCTGTCTCCAGCTGGTAACACAGTAACAGTTCTGAAGAAATCACCATAAACTGTCAAACAGAGAACCAAAACATTTTACCTAATAAACCTGGGAACTATTAGGACACCTGTGGTAGAAGTACATCCATTACAGTTGGATGTAGTCTCAAAACCGCAATCCCTCTTAACGTTTTGGGGTTTTTTGGCCTTCTGTGGAGTCTGATAGAAGAAGTACTATTTTTTTCTATGGACTTGCATTTCCTACTGTAGACACTGTGTGACATGACCAGCAATGCACTCTAGCTACCAATTCAGTACAGTCCAGTCCACAGCTACTTTCATTTCCTATAACATAAGGAGACAATGAGTTTATTCACAATTCATTCTGTAAGAGCAAAATAGACATGTAATTTATCTAAACCATAAATGGATGTAACTTGACACAGTTCAAGATGGGATTCCTGCGAGTTTTACTACATCCAGCTACTAAGTCTTTTACTCTACGTGCCAGCAGCCAGCTAGCAAGAACATCATCAACTTTTAGGGAGCATACAGCTCTGCAAGACAACATACACAAAATGTGAATAATCCTGGAGCATATAATTTGTATACTGTACGGTCTCAAAACATGCAATACATTGATTTGAATACACCATCTTCCTTGTTCAGAGCTTTGTCAAAGTTCCCTGAAGTAACATGTGAAGTCTACAGTGTGCCTCAGGCACACTGACGTGACTTTCTTTGGTCTTTGACATGTCTAAAGCTATTAAGGAAAAATGTTGCCAACACTTTAAAATTAAAAGAAAGATAAGATCAATTTCACAATTTTTTTTTTCTCGCAGAGATTGTAAACAAAAATAGTTTAAGCTTAATCACTCTCAAGTGGAACTGCAAGTGAAAGGTGAGGGCAACTCACAGTTTAGTTCCCAAAGGTTAACAGAGGAGTTGATTTTAACTTTGAAATCCTTGCTTTGAACTGTAGTACATGAATGTACTCAGAAGATTAATTACACAATACCCCTTAAAAATTTCATTTTGTTAAGCACTACTTGTTCCTAATTATTCTTAGAGTCAACCTTGAAAACACCATCATGCTCATCAAAAGGAATGAAAAAAATTAGACTGTGCCTTTTAATTTAAACAGCATCAGCTCTATCAGATCCATCTAAGTCCCTTGGCTTTCCTTTTAAAAGGAACTTTTCCCAGTTACAGACAACAAATCTGCTGGTTGTTTCCAACCCAGTAGCACTGCAACACCAGGTCTTTAGGAACTCCTTTTCATTTTCTGCCTCAACTTCACGGTGTACTGTGAGGACCCCCTACCCTTTTCCCCTCGTACAGATTCCCTCGGGTCCAGCCACAGGTCCTCGCTCTTGGCTGCGAACGCACCGGCGAAACGTCTAACCCCAAACCTCAGCACCTCGTCTTTACCTTCGGCAAAAGACAGTCAGTAAAGGAGAAGTATCTCGGGGAAGGCGCCCAGAGGCCAAGGCACCAGCCGGCCCGGGGCCAGGCGGTGTACGGCAGGAGGGAGAATCCCCGACACGGCTACGACGCCCCGGCCCGCCCCTCGCCCCCTCGACGGCGGCGGAGCCCCGTGCTGCCCCCGCTCCGCCGTGCGCTGCGGAGAACTGCGCTGGGGCTGGGAATGTTTTATGAAGCCCGCACGGCCCTGCCTCTCCCCTTCCCAGTTTTTTCGCTACTTGCGCTGGCACCGCACCTGGAAGGTTCCCCGCGGTGCCTGTGGTGCCTGCGCTTCTCGACGTGAACGACCGCGGCCCCGAGCCGAGAGGCCGGGGCCGGGCGGGTGCCGGGGCACTGGCATTCAGGGAAGGCGGCGAGCGGGGCCGAGGGTTTCGTTACTTGTCTGCAAGCACGGGGAAACTCACCAGGACGGTCCTAAGGACGGGGTTAGAGTGCCCTGTGAAAGGCAGTGGCCGCCCGTGAACCTGCAGGGCAGCTGCCGACGGACGCGGAGTCCGGACGGGACAGAGCCCCGCCAGTCCTGCCCTCTGAGCTCCCGGCGTGAAATTCCCCCGTTTCCCCATTCCTTCAGCCCTACCTACCTGCGCGGCTCAAGCCTGGTATTACTCACCACCTACTGTGGGTGGTGGAGGGGGAAGCCCTGCCGCTCTGCCCGGGGTTCCCTGCCCCACGATGGAGCCCGCGGGGATTAGCCGCGCTCCCCCAGCGCCGCGGGCGGCCGGCAGCAGCCCTCGCCCCAGAGACCGGAGAAGAGACTTACATGGTGACATTACGGGACGGCTCTACTCCGGCTCTCAGCAACCATCCTCCACCGCTGCCGCTCGCTCTGTCTCTGGCCCGCTCCCTTGCCGGCTTCTCGCAAAGGTCATCACTCCTTGCCCACCTCTCTTCCCCGCCCGCGCCGATCCGCTCCTCCTCCGCCGCGATGCTTCCCCCACCCCGCGCCGCGCCGGGACCTGCCTCTCTCTGCTCCAGTCGAGGAAACTTCAGTGCGGAGGGAAGTCGCCCCCGCAGAGGGCAGGGGCCGCCCCGCCCGCCGGCCGATCCCCGCGCCCTGCGCCCCGCAGTCAGGTGGCGGCTCCGGAGGCTCCGGCGCGGCCCCACGGGCTGGCCCGGCCCCCCAAGCCGCACCGGGGGCAGGACGTGACCCGCTGAGCCGCCAGCGAGTGTCCCCGCGCACTGCTCCGAGGACCTGTCCCACGGGGCTGGCGCGCCGCTCTGGGCAGAGGGGTGGCTGCCGGGACCCCGCCGCCTGCGACCCCCGGGAGGGCGCTCCCCGGGCGGCCCCACGCGGGACGGCCATGCAGCGCCCCGGCTCGATGGTTAAGGGCCAGCCCAGGGGGTGCAGCCCCCAAACACCCCTCAGGGGGTGGTAGCCACAGGCCCAAAGCCACCCGCAAAGGACACGGGCCTCTTCTGAGAAGATTCCACACCAGGGACACTGACCTTGGTGGTCACGGCGCCCCGGGCATGTTGCACCTCGCAGCATCCCAGTGGCATCAAGGCCCCTGGGGGCAAGCGCACCCTGCACACCTGCCACAAAGTGCAGTGCACAGGTAAGCACCCACAGACGTGCCTGCTTGCCCCAAGAAAACACTTTGTCCCAGAGCTGTTGACACAGACCCCAAGGCACTTAAAGTGTGTTGGTTTCCTTTGAAGCACACAGCACACTATACTTGGGATACAAGATGGGTAGGTGGAGGTGACGCAGCTCTGACCCAGTTTCTGAAGCGCACAAGGCAGTATGCTGCTCCCACGCAGAGTGCTGGCCCACACCTCACTCCTGGGTAGCATTTTTGGAGGATGGTAGACTGTGCCATTTGCTAATGACCCTGAATTGCTTTGATCAGTTGAAATCTGTAGGACGTGCTACTGCACTTCAGGTAGGTAGGAAAACATTGATAGAAAGGAAAAACCAAAAGGTCAGCAGAGAAGTCCAGAATTTTCACAGTACTCTATGGATCTGAACTGGCAGGATAAGCAAGGATGGGGGAAGAAAAGACTTGGCAAAATGAATCATACAATGAAGTTATCAGCATGCAATGGCAGTTAAAAGCAAACAGAGTTCCTATTTTAAAAAATAAAGAAAACATCACTAAATTTTTCATGAACTTTATACTAAACATTAATACTCACTTATTCTAGTCAATTTTTATTCTCTGTCTTTAAAACCGGTAAGCTATAGGCCTACTTTCATTGTAAATTCCTGGCACTGAACACGGGTACAGGAACCACTGGGTCTGTGTCAGCCAAATCTACACAGCCAACAGTGCAGGCTTGGGCAAAATCAACCTAAAAGTTCTCACAGCCTGGGTTTATTGCATTTACCTCATGTGTACAACAAAGTCTGCATTTCTAGAATGCACTGGACTCACTGTGAGCTCTGAATCTCCTGGGCATATTGGACCGACTGTATATGAGATATGCACAATAAATCAAGAGCATCTGGAAGAAGTCAATCTACCATTCATAAGGAAATTAGCAATATGCGTGTGGTGTGTATTTGCTGGCTGTGTTGGAAACTTCCATCTTCCTTCCCTACTTGGAAGGCATTAAAGGTGACTGCAATTCCAGAACCTGGCAGTCAAGCTGAAAAAAAAAGGAAAAAAAGAAATCATGGATTTTTTTTCCCGCGTCATGTTTTGTTGAGCTGTTTCTTGGTCAGTTCTCCTGTTCTGAATTTGCTGTGATATTCTTTTGCAATCGTCAATCTGCTTTCCCCTCCACAGTAGGAGCACTGCTACTCCTGGATCTCAAACTGGACACTGCCCAGTGAGAAATGCCTGTGCTGTCCTGTGGGGAAAATGTGCAGTGCAGATTTTCTGGACACTGAAGCAACATGTTGCTGGAGACAGTCTCAGAGCTGCAGAGCAGCAAAGAGAAGCCTAATCAGTCATGAGAAAATGCCCATCATTATCTGGCAGCAGCTCACTGTGCCACATCTGCCTTTAATCAATAGTGAAACAACTTGGCATGGAGTGGCTAGTCAGAGAGGGCTACGTTTCTGGCTGCTGCTTAGCAGGAGTGAGAGCTTCTGTGTGTAGATTACAGTGATTTTAAGATCTCCGTCTCAGAGTGAGAAACTGCAGGCTACCTTACAACACTCATCTCAGGTTAACATTGCAGGCTATGTTCTGCACAATGTGATTAAGAGGAAAAAATTACAAAAGTCTGGAAAACAGTGCTATAATCAACAACTGAAAGGTACTTTATATTGACATCTAGTGAGTGACGCCACCAGAAAGGCAAGCACATCTTTTTATTCTCTTCTTACTGCATCTGTAATGACAATGTTGCTTCACGCTTATTTTTACTATACTACAAGGAATGGTGTCTGAATATTTTAGGTACAGGGGTAGCATATTCTACAAGTAATCCAGAATGTTTAATGAATATTCTGAGATGATTAGTGAAATATTTTGTATGAATTTTATAGACTCCTATTTTTATGACTTTGTTCATATATTTCTTTAAACTTACAGTTAGGATGGTTTCCTTCTATTTTGTGCAACTTTGCATGGACTTCTAGAAATATTTATAACAATGTCAAAGAATGGTTCATAAAATAATAATATGAAATACCATATTTTATGCCTGGATACTTCATTTTGACCTATGAGACACATGATTTTTCAATGAACTTTTGTTTTGAAAATTTCCTCTTTATTAAATCAATTTCATTTAGGAAAAATCTGTGTTTATTTTCCAAAGAAGTGCAAATACTGAAACTTTATTGCCTGTAACAGTGCAGAAGAGAAAACAACCTGGAACAATAAAGAGGAAGCTGAATATAAACAGTGCAGTGCTCTAACCTCATGAAGAAAATTCAAGATCATATGCATTCTTAAAAATGTCCAAGGGGGAAAAAAAAAAGTTATCTTTGCATTTTACTACCATTCCAGGCTTTCTGCCTGGCCATTCCCCTGTTTTGGAAAAAAGATGATAGATCCTCAACAGCTGAGTCTGAAAGTTCAAAGGTGAGCTCCCAAAAGCTGGTTTTGAGGATCAAAGTCTGGGTGTTGGTCTAAAAGGTGAAGTAGCAGAATTTATGTGAACTGTTGGGAACAGCAGTTCACATCAATTAAAGAATTCAAGAATTACTTCAGACTGTTGACATACAGCAGACAAGGACTCTGTTTCACTGTGCTTTTACATTAAGTAATCTCTACAGTCCCGCAGTTTTTCCTTTTTGAGAGTCTTCTATCCCTCTAAAGACTACTGAATCAGCTCCCAGATTTCCCAGCACCAATCAGCCTTGTTTGCCCCTACCTGGTCACTGCAGAACCTGTTTTTCACAGTCTGCAGGACAATCTGACCAAACTTCCTGTCTTTTCTACTGCCAGGAGGTATCTAAACAGCTTCTCTTTCCTTATTTTACCTTGTCTGAGGGATTAAGAGCCTTATGTTTCTGTTTCAGGTGTAAAGGCAGTGTGAACTGGATCAGGAGCGTGGTTTTATTTAGTTTGTTTGGTTTTTTTCCCCAAGGAGATGTTTTCCTTTCAGATTTGAGGTGCCATCCAAACAGGGCTGGTTCCCATTAGTAAGAGACTGAAGAGGTGGCAAGTCAGTCTTCACTGTGGCCCTTAGAGCAATGGTTTCAATTAAATACTGGGCAGGGGCACAATGGTTTCTCCTAAATACAGTGCTGAGTGAGTGAGCATGTTTTAGAGGCTGTTGATCCAGTAGATGGGGGGAATGGCATGCAACCTGTGTGCTTGACCAAGTTCCATTCAAACATGGGATTCCAGGAACTTGGGAGGAAAGGGAATTGTAAGGACCGTATTGACTCAAGTTAGTAATTGGCGAAACTGCCTGTGGTGAAACTTTTTTATCTCCTGAAAGCAAGCATAAAGTGAATTGTAACTCTAATATATTTTTACAATGCATGTGCAGGAGTTCAGGGGCTAACATCTGCTCAGATGTTTGTTTCATCGATACTTTCTCTGTGTGCTTTCACATGCATAAAACATAGGTTATGAAATATTTCCTGTCAGGGAGGTTACCACCAGCTAAAACACTGTGCTTTGTGCCAGGTGAGATGTCTTTGATGAAATGCCGAGAGCATGTCATATACAGTGCCTGCACATGTTGCACTCCATAAAATCCTGTAAAATCTGTGACCTTAAGCAAAGCAGGAGACAGATCAGGCAGCAAATTAATTTGGATGGTTTTCACAAAATATTTAATATCTTTGGTCGCTTTTGGTTTTGAGCTCATTTCAACTCCTTACTCTTGATCAAGCACTCCAGGGGTCCTAAACTTTAGCCTGCTGGAGCATGCTGCTCACTGGTATTTTTGCACACATTTCTGTTCTGTGGGGTTGGGAGGATGCTGGAGGTCCTTGCTTCCTGAAGTTTCATTTATCTGAAGGGGAAGAGGAGCTTCATAACTTTTTTCTGGCTTCAGATAATTGAACTTAGAAGTAGTGCTCACTTCACGTGGTGATGCACTCTTGCTATAAAAAACCTGTAGGATGATGTTATCAACGATGAAAAATTACTGGCAGCCTGATCTGAGATGGTGTCTAGTGTTTGAACAGGAAGATAAACCTGGTAAGAAAGAGCTTGTAGAATCAGAGGATATGCAGGGAGAGCTAGTCGTTCTTGGTGTGATACAAAGCACAGGGGAAAAAGCTCAGTAGTGAAAATAGAGGCATCATCAAAGAAGTAATTCTGACAAGTATACTTTTGAGCTTCTTAGATATGGATCAACATGGTAAGCTATAGGATTAAGCTATCCAATGTGGCTCTATGGCTGCAAGTCATCTGAATAAGTTCAACACCAGCTAAACTCCCCCACCTCCTCAATAGATTAACTCTGAAATTAGAACTATTTAGAGAAGGTTACAGTGATAGCTAGGGTCTTCCCCACAG